TTAATGATTCTATGATTCTATGATTATAGCCTTGTTCGGGATTTCACACACACCGAGTAAAACCCTGAGGGCAAGGATCTGCCTGTGTATGTTCTTTGAAGAGTACTCCTATTTGCAGCATGACTTTTCAATCTATAAATTTCCTTTGCTGTTTCTGGTAGCTCTGAACTCCTTTCCATACGTAAAGAAGAGAATTCCGGTCAATTATGAACATCAGGTTAATTTAAAACCAATTGATGTCGCTACTGATGAAATAAAAGACAAGACGGCAGAGCTGCAGAAACTCTGCTCTGCTGGTGATGTTGACATGATCCAGCTGCAACTCAAATTGCAAGGCTGTGTTTCTGTGCAGGTAAGGCTTGATGTCCTTTTAAATTACTTTTATATACACATCTCAGAGTTAGTCATCTTTTCACGATGCAACACATCTACTTTCCAGAAATGATTAACTGCCTCGTTTGCAGCACTGCAGCCATCAGCCTGCCAGCACAGCTTCCCCTGCCGCATATACTGGTACATTAGCGGGTGGCTCATGGTAATAAGCATTTTGTCCAGTGGTGTTTACAGTGTCAAGTCCAAGTCTAATTGCACATTAGTTGGCCATGGGTGAATGCTGAAATATACTTAACTCTTGAAGATTGTACTGTAAGTATCAGGCACAAATAGCCTTTTTGTGAGCCTGACTTCTCAAGCTGGATAAATGACCTTAAGACTCGGACAATACTGCTTTTCCAAATGGAAGTAAGAGGAAAGTATGAGGACAAAGATTGCATCTCTCTTTTTATCTCCATTTATCTTTTGTTCTTAAAAAACCTAGAGAGAAAATCTAATACTCAACTTTTGAAACTTCAGGTGCCTCCGGTGACATTAGTAATGCAGAGTTTATGGCATTCAAATAACATGCTAATGTTGGGTGGTTTGTTTTTTTTTTAAATTGTTATTCCCTTCACAACTGCCTTTAGCAACTGAACAGAAGTTCCAGCTTAAATGATTTCTTACTTCTTTGGTTCTAGGTTAATGCTGGTCCCTTGGCCTATGCCAGAGCTTTCCTAAGTGACAGCCAGTCCAGCAAATATCCTACTAAGAAGGTGAATGAGTTAAAAGAAATGTTCAGGTAGGATTTCTAATGTAATAAAAACTAGCCAGCTGGCTGGAACATGGTACCTGCTTTGCTTATATTTTTGTCTGTCTCCAAAATCAGCAGATGCTGAATGCTTAGATATGCCTTATAAAGATCCAGGTCTCACGGGATTGTGGGTGCTCAGACATATTAAAAAAGCCAATGTAACTATGTATGTCAAGAGTTCCCAAGCTCAGGGCTGTGCTCTCCATTTTGAGAGATTTGCTTGCACGCCTGCTTCAACGGTTTGTGTGGGTATTTGAGATTATCGTGTGAAGAAAGTATGTTTGAAAACCAGAGGTCTGACAGTCTTGTGTTCAGGGTTCTTTCATATTGTGCATTGTTTCCCAGTCTTTCCAAAGGGATTTTTTACTAGATAATGACGAACTTGAAATATTTTAAAGCAAATCCCTTCCCAGTTTATGGAGGACCATCATTCCTGTTTCTGTTGCTAATTTTTGAAACTATGTGACTTGCACAGGCATTTTTCTAACTCCTGTCCCTTAGGGTAGGTTTTACCTCCCACTTGAAAGTGTCCCCGAAGATATAATTAGGCACCTTCTGCTTCACCTCAGAATGATGAGCCTTTGCCATGCTATTTTCTGGACCCCTCGGGAGCAACCAGTTGCCCACCAGCTCCTGCATTCATTACTGGGTGCTGGTGACTCCCATTTCACCCATCAGTCACTGTATGGAGAAGGCAGCATTTGGGCCAATCCTATTTTCCTTCAGTGTATTGAGTAACTGTCACAAATGAGTAGTTTAGAGGCTGCTTAAAGAATCACCATCAAAGGTATTAGCATAAAGTGATTTTAATAGAAATTTATAAAAACGCGACTTAACAGAGTTCAATGGCAAGGTTCATTCTATCACTTACTACATGGATGAAGTATACAAAGGAAAATCGTGTTATAATTGAACTAGATTTTGTGCAGAGACCGAGGACGAAAGGGTAAGGGAGACCCTCCTGTTGTCACAAGATTCAGAGTAGACCCGGCTGGATCTACCCCTAGTCCCAGACTTGGGCAATGGTTTAAATCTAATGGGAGAAATATAAGGAATAGGAACAGGGAAGCCCTCCCTTTGAGTCACGAGGTTCAGAGTAGACCTGGCTGGATCCACTCCTAGTCCCAGACTTGGTTAACGGTTTATGTCTAAGGGTTTATGTCTAAGGGATTATATGTGTTTAGCAGCAGTCTAAGGTTCAGAGTTTTAAGGTGGATCACAAGATTTTAGCAGCACTTAATCATTAACTAATTTAACATTTACAAAGTAAGTTAGTAGAGTCTACTACAATCACGACAGTGACTTAATTACAGATTATGCTTACTATTAGTTCACGCACACACACACAGAGACACAAATATATATAAATGTACAAAAGGTATACCTGTTTAAAATTCCCCTTGAGTTCAGTGAAGAAATATTCACATCAAATGTCTTGGCATTTCTCAATGGGCAATGGTTGAGCCTCAAGGAGTGAAGGGTTTCAGCCCAGGTCCCATCAGCAGCTTTCGGCGATGGTCCTCCGAATATCGCAGACTTGAGAGGTCGCAAGCTCGGAGAGGTGTCCCACTCAGAGGGAGATGCTGGGCACAGCCCGCTGCAGTCCAGGAGAACTCAAAGGGTCTCACCATTTGTAGGTTCACAAGACAATTGTCTTTAGTCATCCGTAAATTTCCATCCTGGCCACAGTCCCAGGTGGTAGTTACTAAAAATTCGCAAGGTTTCAGTGTTGTTCCCCTTGAGCTACAACTCAAATAAGATGACACCCGGGCCAGGCAGTAGGAGTACGTTCCCAGCCTCAGCTATGCAAAGTTTCTGATACGGTCAAGGAACACTCAACTACCAGACTCAGTCCACCAAGGCCAAGGTTTCACAAGAAATTCTGAGATCAACAGGTGGCCCCGGAGAGGGAGGGTGAATGCACCACCACAGTAACCTAGCAAGCCATGGAACAAATAAGGGAACAATCCCTACAAACCTGCCATCTATGGATGCAGAACAGAGGGAGGGCGGTTTTACTTTCCAGCCTTACAGTGCAGCCAGAAGGACAAATACAATCTCTATTTCATGCAAAAAATCCCAGAAAATCCCAGTCGTGCTTGTATTTTCATTGTATTCTATAAAAAAGGAGAAATATGCATGTGAAATGAAGAAAATGAGTAGCAGTAACCAAGAAAACAATATTACAGTTCCCTATGATCTAAATTTCTTTCTGGAGGGTGTGTCTGCTGTTAGTAACTTGGCCTCTCAAGCACACGTGCTACATCATATACATCCAGATCTGTCAAGCCCTGTACTCTTCCCCTCTCTGCCTGACCATGGCCTCCCTCTGTTTTGTGACCCTGTGTTCAGCTGGTTGGGCTTATCTGGGATCTGCAAGCTGTGTGTGATCCTACAGGTTGGGATGAAGGTGCGAGACCACTGTGTTGCACTGCGGGTGTGCGTGTCCCATCTACTGAGGATCCAGGCTCGAAGGAGCACCAGCAGAAAAACCAACACCTGTGTGGCAGTCCCTCCCCATTCCCTGATCCACTGTGCCAGGGATGTCTAGGCACAGTCCTAGAATGTGACTTGTCCCAAACGTTGGAGAAAAAGGGGGGAAAAAATGAGATTTGCCTATCTGTCTGGTTGTTTGCTTTGGTAGAAGACTGGGCTATTGTAATGCCCAAAGTTCATTCCTTTCCTCCCCAGGAAGTTTATACAAGCCTGTGGAATTGCTCTGGAGCTCAACGAGCGACTCATTAAGGAGGATCAAGTGGAGTACCATGAGGGGCTAAAATCAAACTTTCGGGATATGGTGAAAGAGCTTTCTGACATCATCCACGAACAGGCACGTACTGCATGTCAGGAGCCCACAGAGGTGGTTCTCTGTGCTTGAAAACTAGCTAATGCTGAAAACTGACTGAAAACTAATTGAAAACTTGATCACCCTTCATGTTATTTAGCTAAATATAAAAAGGCGAGTAACTGAATGTGGGAAGTAAACGATACACTTGGTGGATTCCTAAAACCAGTTTCTGTTGATTGAAAGTCTCAGCCTGGTGTTGGTATACAGCGTGCTTCAGCATGGAGTCATCGCTGACACATACCATTCGTTTCTTGGCTGCCGTGGTCATCAGAAATCCTGTGCCATGTTTTGCCTCATATTTTCTACATCATAAGAATCCTGTGATAAGTCACAGGTCGAAATTCTCTGGCAAAATTTCTGTTTCCTCAGTTATATCCAGCTTAAGTTCCTTTTTTTTTTTAATTATTTTTCATTAAAGGATGTTTTCTTTTAAGTTTGGCCTAATGCCAACATCCTATTTACATGCACCGTTAAAGTATTTCTGCTAATTTATCTGACCTATGTTTTAATATTTTCTTGGGTCTTTCTAGGAAAATACATTTGAATAGTAGCATCAGAGAGGTGAGATATTCAAAGAACGGTTGCACTTCTACCTAGTATCATGCTGTGAAATGAGGTGAAAACTGGCTTTCTGAAGTAATCTCCATACCTCTGCTCTCTAATTTTGCCTTCATTATGACAAAAGAAAGCTCATGGTAGATTTCTAGCATAAAGCACACAAAATGAATGGTACAGACTGCATTGTGATTCATAGTACTTGAAATTTAGAAGAATGTTTTCAAAATCTCCCAGTTACTCAACATACAGACCATGTGTGACAATTAAAAATGCAACATTTTAAGTCACTAAAAATATATAGGCAAATTCCAAAATAAGTTGAGCAGTTGTTCAAACTAATGCAAAAATGTGCAAGTGGCAAAATAATACAACTGCACTAGGCTATTTGTAAGTTAGGTTTATTTACAATAAAATAATGTTTATGGGAATCAAATAGAGTCTTGTTATGGAAGAGCACAATATCATTTAAAAGAAACAGTCTCATGATGGGGCTGAATTTTGTTGTAGGAGTATAAGGGAGGATCTGTGTGAGAATAAGTGACTGCTGCATCCCCCTTGCTTTTGTTAGATTTCCCTGCTATTCTGCTCATGACTACCATTTTCTTAGTGTGCAAACTACTAATTTGCACATTCAGCACACTCATTTTTTTCATGTACCTTACATACCGTGTATACTCCACTGCTGAATTTTGCTCAGAGATGCTCGTTCATAGGAGTTGCCACCTGCCTACTCTAAGCTGTTTGCAAGTAAACCTTTCCAAGACATTTAATTTGCATGCAGCTGCTGGAACTTTTGTGGTTTCTGAATTCTGCAATAGTCAAATCAAAACCAAATCACTCAGTTCTGCACTGTCGCAGTACAATAGTTAAGATTATCTTAGAACAAAGAAGCATTATTAAAGCACGCTCCCTATTATCTTGATAGATTTACAAATATCCACTGTCATGTAGTCTTTGGTTAACAGGCAAAATATTACAGCAACTGAAATGTCAAAGTGAAGGGCTCGCTGGGAAGGATACTTTTCACTTTCTTCTTGCCTTAGATCAAAAGGCAGCTCGAAGGACCATGTTTACGAGCGCTATTCTTTATGGTTGTACAACATTATGTAGGTAACAGCTGACTTGAACTTTGTATTGCCATCAAATGACCTAAGTATCTAACAAATTAAACTTAATGGAACATGTTTTCCTCTTCTGCAAAATTACTCAGTTAAACATAAAAAGTACACTACATTAATTTAGGGTTCTCATTGCAAAGAACATATGCTTTTCTAAATATTGTCAGTGCCACAAAACAACACAGGCAGTGCACTTAGTTTGAGATGGCAGGGCAGATGGGTAACTCCCTGGGTCAGCCTGTGACCTTTTAAGTTAGGGAAATGTAAACACAAAAAAATTGATAAACTGCAGCTGAACAGGTACAGGAAGCCTCGGAGAGCGGCAGAAAACTGGATGTCCAGAAACTGTTTATGATGGCCAGTGATCTCAGTTTCACTAATGTAAATTCAGACTAACTTGTTGACTGGTGAACCACAGGGTGAAAAACAAATACACAGTCAGCTCTAGAGCGGCTCTACCAGTCCAGTTAGATCCTGTGCTGTAAGACCATCCTTCAGGTTATAAAGTACAAAATCTTTCCACGTGGCATGGATGTAGTGAGTGTTTGCTGTATTTAGCTGCAGGTACCCCCTGTGCTTACCGAAAAAACTATTAGAATTCTGTTAGTGCTAAGATACAACAAAAAATTGCTATACAGAGAATTGTTTCTTTCCTATACTGGATAGTTGTAATAAAAAATGATCCAGTAATACACAGAACAGCATATATATGAATGCTACAGAAATTGCTAAATTACTCTTCTTTCTCATTTCTTTGTTATGCTGCCTTTGCGAAACAGCTTTGAAGACAAGGTTGGATATCTCTTTTGCATACCTTTTTAAACAGCTTGATTATAATGATGAACTGAAACTTTTACTGAATTTGTGATTATTTTGTCTTGTCTAGATCTACCATGAAGATACAATGCATTCGCCGTGGGTGCATGACTCCCTACATGTCTTCTGTGCGATCAGCGGAACATCTGGTGATGGAAGTTACTGCTCACTCAGACCCACTGCTGAAATATAAACATATCAGCCATATTTTACAGAGCTTTCTCAGGAATACTTGGAACTTGGAACTGTACAAAGGATGTTTAAAAAAATCCATGACGAGCAAAGATTCAATTTTTTTTTTCCCCCAAAATAAGTTGCCATGCTTTCAAACAGGGTGCTTGCTTATTTTGCTGAGCAACATTGAAAGTGCCTGGACATTGCACCACTGTGCTTGTTTTCTACTATTGTTTTTTTAAGCTAAATGTATAACAGGACATGGAAAGGCAGTTGTCTAAATATGTATTGAATTGCTGAACTATGGATTGAAATGATAACGGTACTATGTAAAGTTGTACAATGGAATATAATAAAATGTAAAACCACTTTGTAAATAGAAGGAGTATAGAGTATATAGAAATTAGCATTATATCATATTTGCTGCTAAAAGCTTTGTTGGACAGGGAACATGAAGGAGAAATTGTAGTCACTAGTAAGAGACCTTCCTCTTCGAAAAAGTGACTTGGAGTCCAGATGCCCTTGTTGCACTCAGACAATGAGAGTAAACTTGTCCTGGTCTGAAATAACTAAAACCTAAGTCAGAAATGATAATTTTCATACATCCTCTGAGCAGATAATTCTAAAGTAACCTCCATGAAAGCTGAGTTTACTATAGCTGATTTCAAGTTTGGCTAACCTTTCACGGAAGTTTGGCTAACCTTTCACGGCTGCAGGAGGGTGGATTTTACTCACTGAGGACAACCTAGAGATTTGTCATTTGATACGAGTTTTTCTCTTTATCACTCATGGTCTCACACAAAAACAAACTCTGAGGACACCTGAAAGTGAGTTGGGAATTATAAAGTGCTTTAACACCTTTAAGAAAAATTCTAATAATCTGTGAGATGTGCTTTAAAAAAAAAAAAAATGCAGTGCATCAAAATAACTCATACAAAACTGAGGGGTTTTTTTAACTCATATGACATGCATGTTCCCTCCTGTTAAACAGATCTGTTTTCTGAAAGCCTGATGTTTTTGTCTGACAGGTGGTTGGAGAAAATGTATTTTCCAGAATTCTTTTATTCCTTCTTCCCCTCCCCAAAGCTTTAATACATTATCTCTGTCTCTTTTTAATAAGACACTTTCAGATGCAGGAAGAAGAAAACAGATCAGTAATACTTTTACCCAGCAACATTTTTAACATCTGTGTTTTTCAAAATCCCATCAATTGTAAATATGGTTCCAGTAGTTCATATGGGAAGGGTGGGGTTTTTTTAAGGATATGTAACAAAATACCATAATAAAAGGACTCCGGCTGGGTATTTAGCTTGGCTATAGTGTCTATAAAATGTTAAGCTTCTAATTTCTGAAACATAAATTATCTTCAAATAGTAACTGAACCACATTTCAAAATGTTTACTATGCATGCTTCTAAATACCTAAAATTAATTGTCTTCTGAGAAAATAATGTTGTGATCCATAAATTCACCCATTAGCTGTTGCAAGCAAGATACAGATGTGCCTATGTAACAAACAGACCACACTTCTGCTTGTATGTGCTTTTACGCCAGGCAGGCTCTAAATTTAGCTTTGCAGAAAGAGGAAGAGAGACTAGTATGTTTAAATATGGTTACCACCATACTGATTTTCATCTTTCAACAAATAATATTTAATGGCAGATAGTGAGAGTTTTCCAGATTACTTTACTAAAAGGTAATGAAGCTGTTTAATAGTGGATACATGACAAGATTTTTTTGGAGCTAATTAAACTCTAAACATCAGTACTAAAGGCATATCTTGAATAAAATGGGCAATGATGAGAAGCGGACATCCAAAAGCTCTTGCACTATAGCTCTTTTAAATACTACAGCTAACCTAATAGTTTTCCTGGAATTGCAGTGAAACTCTTATTCATGTTTTTTGATGTCTTTAATGTTCTGAAATAACATAGTTGGGTGAATTTTCAATTGTTATTCCTTATTTTTGCTGGAATTCCAGTGAATTTCCTATTCATATCTTCGGATATCTTTAATGGTCCAAGATGAATTTTTGTCTGAACTTCTCAATTTATCATTGGTATTGTTGTCCTGTCATTTCAATATACTGGAAAGCTGTCTCGGTAATTCAGCCAAAAAAAGTATTTAATATAGGTCCAATTAGAATATATACAGTCAGTACAGTTCAGAATACATGCTTATATGCAGTTTTGAAGAATAACAAAAATGATCATGCCCTAAGGATCTGCCTTCTGTCCTGCAGGTAAATAATTCGACTGGATTTTTAACAGAAAAATCTCACAAGGAAAATTTGTCCTTTTTAGATGGGTTGTAGAAAGACTGGTAACAAACCAGCTTGGTTTTTCTTTACATTTTCACCAATCTAGAAATGGTAGGGAATGGTCATTAGATATTTTACAGCTGTATCTGGACGACGGTGCCAAGAAGGTGTTCACATTTTCTCTTCCTATCCTTTTCATATATAATGGTCCCAGTTTAAAGAAGTCCTCCAGATTTTTTCTTATTTCTGGTTGAAATAGCTTAATTGACAGATGTATCTGGGGAGCATACTGTATATGTGCCTGTTTTATGTAGGTGATACTCACATTGGGTACTTCCTATTTGCTACCTTTTTTGGAAGAATATAAATGTTTATTGTTCATTAACACTTTTACTTTTCTTATACCGCCTAAGGAATGGTGGGAGTTTTTTGGTCTGTAAAAATTAGTAGACATATTTCAAATTACAACCTGGCATGCTCTCTTGCTATATATCAATATAGCTACACATATATATTATATATACGCCTCTAATTACTTGTGCTGCAAAACTGCTGTATAACACGTCAAGTCTCTAGAAGGGATGCACTGGTAATTTTGCAATCACTCAATTGTTTGCATAAAAAGAGAAGAAATAGGATAAACTATCTGTCCATGAAGACCAAGGGCAGTTGGCTACTTCAGTACCAGGACTGTTTTGGATAATGGTATCTGTTAGAGCCAGACTGTCTGCAAACAGGACATATAAAGCAACACAGGGTCTGCCAGAACTTTATGTACAAGAACATGCTTTTAGAGATTTATACACCTAGATAGAGTAAGCAAAGTGTAAACATTTCTGCTCTTCTTCGACTTAATGCTTCTCTCTCTGCAAAGATACTAGAAAGTAGTATTTTAAGACAAGTAAGTTCAGAGTTACATTTCTTTCCCCAAAAAAATCTGGAATGCAGAATTTATTGCAGTCAAGGATATATTTCTACGTACTACTCGATGGTCTAAATTTCTTCTAATAACAGAAATTTTCATAAGATAGGCCAAGAAAGGGAAAGTCATGGATGTGAGAATACCTGTAGCGTGTAACATGTTTATTTTGTTCCAGAAGCCTTTTGAACATATGCCACATGGTGTTTTGATACAGAATAAGAGTTTGCATAAACATAACACCTTTTGTCTCAAAGTAGATAAAATATGTTTGTTTTCCCTTCCTGTAGAGAGAGTGAGTCCCATGGGCTTCACAGCAGGCTTCAGAATACCCTAAAATTTGACGCAACAGAGCCCAAAAGACTGGAGGAAAACGTAAGTGGAAGTCATGGGCTCAAAAGTCTTACACAAATTAAACCACATCTTACTCCATTTACCCATTTGAGGAGAGTAGCATGTGTTCATTTGATGTTTACTGAGCTGAGTTCTTTTAATTAAACAAGGGGTTCTTACTGGATTGAGGAATACTGTGTACAGCTAATTATTATGCAACCACAGACTTTATTTCACTTAACCTTTAAATAATACGCTTGTGTCAAGCAACGGTGAACCAATATGATATACACATAATATTTCAGCTATTCTGGATGTAATTTACTCTCTTTTCATGTAAATTTAACACCTGGTACTACATATTCGTAACAGAAGTGCTTTTATTGTGCATGTTGTATATAATACGTGTGTTGTACAAGCCCTTTTCAACCTCCTGTGACAACAGAATGCTACATCCCATTTGCCTCAGTTGTTAACTGATGTACCTCTGACACCGAGTAATACAATGCTATATTGCTCTTTTTATTCTCATTTTCTTTTTCTTGAAGAATCAATGATTTTGACAAGAAGCCAGGGCAAAATCACCTTTCAGTTGATCCTGATAAAAGAAAGTTTATTCCCGGTTAAAATAAAAGACTACAAAAACAGGAAAAATAAGTGTTGCAATAAACATGTTCTGCTTAGGAGGTTTTTTCCCTTCTCAGAACACAGTGAGTGATCTGAAGCTAATACCAGGTTCATGGGTCTAAAACCTAGTCAAATGAGCTATCGCAGATACTGCCTCTAAAGAAGATTACTGTAATAAATCTTCAAATACATAAGTACACCAAATGAAATTGTTAACACTAAATTATTCAGCAGCAAATAGAAGGTGTTGATTCAGAAATACTGAAGGAGCACAAATGCCACACACACAGCTCGGAGGATCCCAAAAATACGATTCATCAGGAAACCTGAGACAGATATAGAGTGCATACAAATGTATAAATAGAAATAAGGTGTGAATCGCTAGAAAGGAAACGTCCCAGCAAATCACCCTACTTTCCTAAAGAATATTCAGTAAGTTTGTGATCAGGTTTTTGCTCTGGTTTGTAGTTCCAATTTTCAAACCCAGACTAATGCTCTTTGGAAATGTATTTATTGTCACTCTACTCCAACTAACTCAACTTAAATGGCCAGTATACTAATATATATGCTCAGGCAGTTGTATTGGCTATTACATGATGTAATGGAAGTCAGGTATAACTATTGTTATTTACCTCAGACCATCGGATAAAGGACAAATTGCTTTTTCTACTGCTGTCTTCTACTGCTGAGGCTTCCTTTACAGGGCTCTTGCAAGCCTTCGCCAAACAGCTGTAGAACCAGGTTCGTGCCCTGCCTCCCTTCATGGGCAATAAGAGGCAAAGGAGTTACTCCCTTGCTGAATAAATAGATTAATTAAATAGACCTTGGTATTTAGGGAACTGTGAGCAGAAAAGTTGATGCATGGACTTGCAGTAGCAATTTATTGGAGCGCGATACCATTTTTGCACAATCATACATGGTTCCATATCTACCCTAAAGTGCTCTTCAAAGGACGTAGTTTTTATTCCACATAATTTCTGATTTCCGGTGATGCTTGGGCAGCAGCTCGGAAAGAACTTGCAGAGTTCGTGGCCGTTTTGAACACACCTATCACAAAGCTCTAGACGTCCCCCGAAGAACACTGAGGTCGAAAAGGGAGAGGCCCCGTGAGTCAGACCGGGTTTTTTCAGCTCACAATTTTGGATTTTCGTGCCTCAGATCCAGCTGCATTCTAATTGACTGA